GTACAATTACTGATACAACAGTACAAACTTGAGCCTATCAATATTAATAACACTGGTTTCTCAGTATTACATGCAGCAGTACAGGCTGGTCATACTCATATACTGGAATGGTACAGTCAGGAGTATAGTGTGGATATTACTAATCACACTGACAATAACAAGTACACACTAGCTCATTATGCTGCTTATAAAGGTAAGCTACATTGTCTACAGGAACTGATCAACAAGTATCAGTGTGATGTTAATGCCACTACTACTGATACTGGTAGTACAGTTCTTCATAAAGCATGTGAAGGAGGCTATGTTGCTGTTGTACTTTATCTGACTAGTCTTCCTCAGTGTAATGTAGCAGCTAAGACTTCTAATGGATCAACAGTTCTTCACATTACCTGTGAGTACACTGACTCTCTTTCTATACTCAAACATCTGGTAGAGAATCATCAGTTAGATCTGTGTGCTGTAGATGATGAGGGAATGGCTCCTATTCACTTAGCATGTAGTGAGGGAAGATTGAATTTGGTCGAGTACATTATAAATCATTTAACATTACAAAGTGAAATTGGCTTAATTGAAGATATTCTCAAACAGCATAAGACAAAAGATGGTAGCCTAGCATTACATTTAGCCTGTGAGAGTGGTAATATTCAATTAGTGACTTATGTAATAGATGACATGGAGTGTGATGTCACTGCTACTAATACCTTATATGGTAGTAATTGTGTTCTGTTTGCCTGTTTTTCAGGCAATCTTGATCTAGTACAATTACTGATACAACAGTACAAACTTGAGCCTATCAATATTAATAACACTGGTTTCTCAGTATTACATGTAGCAGTACAGGCTGGTCATACTCATATACTGGAATGGTACAGTCAGGAGTATAGTGTGGATATTACTAATCACACTGACAATAACAAGTACACACTAGCTCATTATGCTGCTCTTAAAGGTAAGCTACATTGTCTACAGGAACTGATCAACAAGTATCAGTGTGATGTTAATGCTACTACTACTGATACTGGTAGTACAGTTCTTCATGAAGCATGTGAAGGAGGCCATGTTGCTGTTGTACTTTATCTGACTAGTCTTCCTCAGTGTAATGTAGCAGCTAAGACTTCTAATGGATCAACAGTTCTTCACATTACCTGTGAGTACAGTGACTCTCTTCCTATACTCAAACATCTGGTAGAGAATCATCAGTTAGATCTGTGTGCTGTAGATGATGAGGGAATGGCTCCTATTCACTTAGCATGTAGTGAGGGAAGATTGAACTTGATCCAGTACATTATAGAACACATACCATCATCACTTGAACTACCTACCAGAGGGCAAAGTCATACTCCATTCCTTGCTGCTATCTACTTCAATCAGTTAGAAGTTATTAAATATCTTATTAGTAAGAAGTGTAATCTATCAGCTACTGATGATGAAGGGTTTGGAGCAGTTCACATATCAGTAGAGAGGGGTCACTTGAATGTACTGAAGTATCTCATTGATAATAATTATTGTAATCCTAATGCAACTGATCATCAAGACCGTACACCACTCCATTTAGCTGTAGCAGTGAACCAACTTGAAATATTAGAATATTTACTGAGTAAGAGTATACCCTCAATGAGTGTTGTCTGGTTACGTGAGATAAAGTGTTTTTTAGACAGTCTTCATGACATATACAATAATCCTCATAATGCTGTACTTATTAATGTACAAGATAAAGATGGCAATACACCATTACATCTAGCCTGTCAAGATGGAGAACAGAATATGGTATCACTATTACAAGAAGCCAATTTATCTAACAATAACTTATTAATTATTAACAAGAAAGGACAGACACCATTACACTTAGCAGTTGCCTCTGGTCATAAGGATAGTGTAGAAGCTTTACTGTCCTCAGTCACTGGTAGTTCTACTCATCATGATATCCTTACAGCTACTGATAATGAAGGATCCACTGTATTTCATACAGCTTGCAGTGATGGCAACATTGATGTGTTTCATTATTTATCCAGTATTTATCCTCAAGGTGTTAATGTAATGGATAATAGAGGACGTAGTTTACTTCATGCAGCATGTGAGGGAGGAGATATTGGAATAGTAAGAGCACTAATTGAGACACATGGACTGGATCCTTTGACAGAAGATGGAGTTGGCATCACCTGCTTACACTTACTAGCAGAGAGAAAGGAATTTTTATTTACCTTTTTCATGGATACTCCAGTTGATATATACCAGTATTTGGAACCAAACATTGTCTCTAATCCAGTACCTAAAGACAAGTCTGGTCGTACTCCTCTTCATTATGCTTCTCGTTCTGATAATATTCGTATGGTACGTTATCTCATAGAGACCTTCCCCTGTACTCCTGATGATCCTGATAATAATGGATACACTTCAGTTCATGGAGCATGTGAAGCTGGTAGTATGGAGTTAGTACAATATTTTCTAACTGAACTCAATTGCAATGCACTAGCTGAAACCAATGACTTCAATACGATGCTTTATTTTGCTAGCAAGAATTCTAATTTGGAACTTGTTCGATTTCTAGTTGAAAGGTATAATTTAAAGCCTCGTCAACATGATATTGAAATAGCTCGAGCCACTAATCCTGATTCATCAATAGTTAGGTATCTTGAAAAGGTGAATCATGATATGGTTGAGGAGGAAAGAAGAAGGGTTTCAAAGCGAACAACAACAGGTGCAGGTATTGAGGAACTTCACAGCACTAAAAGAATCAAATTAGGAAAGGATGAGGCATAATAAAGAATGACAATCATGTTTCAAATAACTTCAGTTTCATTCTTCTACACTTGATAAGGCACACATCTTCCTTCCTTTCTTGCTCTCTGGTCAACATCCACTCTACCTTAATCTCCTTATTTCTCACACCATGCAAGCATTACAACAAATAAAGTATCATTATCATAACTTCAATATCACAGTATTCATTTTTGTAATACATGGTTTCTAAAAATAGTTATTTTATTTTCTTACTATATTATTTTTTACCTTTGCTTGACAAGGGATCCTTCAATGGTTTCTAACATTAGTTTAATTCATCACATTCTACATCTTTTATACTTGACATGTGTACATACTTGTATGTACATGTATTGTATTTAAATGTGTGTACTTTTTTCTCTTTCTCTCTACCTTCTCTTTATACCAATTATTGCTATTGCTGTTACTTATATATATTATGATGTAATAATTGCTTTTTATAATTTTGCACATGATCCATGCATATAAGTATTATGCTCAATTTTTAATATTTTTGATAAAATTATTATTAAAAAATAAATTTTTAAAATCAAAAAACAAAATTTAATGATCAATATGAATATTCGTAATCAGTTAATTAATGTATTACAGCACTCTCTGTTATCAATGCATGCACACTAAAGTATTTGATATAATTAAAATTAACACATTAAGCAGAACTACAATAATCAAAAAAATAATAAAATAACTGTCAGTGCCTCTTACTCCATTCCCTCAGTCCTCATCCATCACGTATACATTAGGATCATTAACAGCACCAAGATTAATACCCTCAGTATGATGAGTGGTGGGGAGTGGTACACTAATCTCATGAAATGAGGAATAAGAGGTTACCCTAAAC